AAGCCTGCCCCGTACATGACGCTTCTTATAAAGGAGGAAAGGACATCCTTAGGGATGAGATTATCCGCAAAGATCATCATGAAATTGTTGCAGAAAGCTAGGTGGAACACTTGAAAGAAGTTCATAGTCACAAAAAGCACAAAGTTTCTCTCCGTCATGATCTGTTTGGTCAATGAAATTACAGAAGACCAGGAAAGATTTCTATCATCATTTCCGAAGCTAGTGTCTTCCATGAGAGATTCTCTCTGTTCATACTGACTAGTGCTATACATGCCAGTGTAACACATACATGCAGTTGCTAATACTGCAACTAAAACAGTAAAGCCCTGAAAGTAGGTAAAATTTTCCATGTTATCTGATATTAGTCCACAAAAGAGAATGCTGGTTGATCCAACTAACGATGCCACTTGGCTATATTTAATGAGCTGAAGTCTACTTTCATGTCTACTTGAAATCTCTGCAAAAAGTGCACACTGTGCTAGCAAAACAAATGTAAGCAAGCCATCAAAAGCACATAAAGCAACAATAAGGTGAAGACCACTTAGCCAGTCACCTTCCTGATAATGTTTCCAAGGAAACCATGGAAGCAAAAAGGCTAGGGCATACAATGGAGCTCCATATAAAATGGAAAACTGGCGTCTCGAACAGCATGGGAGTTTGGAGTTGTCTTGAATATACCCAAAGAGAGGGTCATTAATGGCATTCCATATCATAAAAACCACCTAAGAAGAAGAAATAAAGAATTTCTTATTAGTAACATGTGTGTTCAAGTGGAGTCTTAAGGAACATAATATCTGGAACAACAGCAAAAACAAAAAAGCTGGCCTACAAAAGAGAAGTTAAAAATATTATATACATTGTAAAATTAAAACAAAGACACAACATGTTTACTGCAGAGTAGACTAATTAGCTCCACAGTGAACACATGCATCTCTATTAGGCCACAAGAAACTAATTAACTCCACAGCAATGCACATGTAGATGCTGACCCAGCTGGCTGGAGCATGAGGGTTTTTCAGTGCAGGGACTGACTTCTAGCTAGCCCAACACAGAAGCACCCCAGCCAGCCCCTCCACAGCATGTTAAGTTGGGTCAGAGCACCTCTGGGCTCCCCAGCCACGGCTGCTCTGATCTAGTTTAACACGCTGCGGTCCCAGGTGCACGTGTAAACGTGGCACCTAGGAACAATAAACTCCAGCGCAATATGTGTTGGAGTTTATTGTACTGCATTAATATGCACATGTAGCTGGCACTCTGTATGTAGAAGCAGTTAAGTCAGGGGTGGGCAAAATATGGCCTGCAGGCTGGATCTGACCCACCAAGGCATTCTATCTGGTACATGGTAGGTCCCTTTGCCCCACCCAGCCCAGGTGCAGGGGGCAGCCCAGGCCATGGTATGTGTAGCTAATCCTGCCGCCCCTGGGTGCAGCAGGGCAGGGACAGCACAGCAGCTAGACTCTGCTGCCTGGCAGCCCCCACAGCAGTGGCTCCTTCCAATTGCCACCGTTACTGTCTCTGCCACTGCAGGCCATGGCCCTGCTGCCTAGGCACCCTGGCCTGCCTGCCCCACACCCACTGTTGGGGATGCTGGACAGAGTGGGTGGGCAGGTGGGAGGGATCTCCATGGAGACTGGCCTGGGACCCCCACAGGCAGGGCATGCTTGAATGGGCAGATGGGATGGGGCCGCAGACGGGCAGGGAGCAGCATCCAGGGGTAGGATAGGTGGGCAGGGACTGGGATCATGGGGCAGTGACAGGAGGGGAGCAGATTGCAGGTCTGCCCCATGCTGTCACCACTCTACAATCCTGGCCCTTGCCCACTCATGGCCCCGTCCCATCTACCCAGCCAAGTGCACCCTGCCCACCAGGGATCTCAGCCAGTTTCCATGCAAACCCCAGGCACCCATTCTGTCCAGCGGCCCCAGCGGTGGGTGTGCAGTGGATGGGCCTGGGCTGGTAGGGTCGACTGCCCCCTCGCCCTGCTGGGCCAGTACCCTCCACCCAGCAACAGCTCACCAAAGTGGCCCTCCAGCCAAACTAACTACCCACCCCTGAGTTAGTGAAACTATTTCCCAGCTCTTCTAACAGAGGATGTTTTGATATATAAATACAGACGTTCAAAATATTGTGCTTAATTTTTCATTTTACTTGGGGGGGGTGAACTAATGCTTGCCAGAAACCGATATTTATAGGTAGTTCACTGTCTAAAAATGTGGACAGGTGCCTAGTCAGATTTTCAAAAGCTTAGATGTCTACTCCCATTAAAATATAAGCATTCTGGCTGTAAGCCACAGACCAGCAAACCCTTACATGCAAGTAACTCTGAGCACATAGGCAACCTTACTGAGCTCAACAAGACTCTTCAAGTAAATAAAAGTTATTCACATGAGGAAGGGTCTGAAGCATCACAATGATGATCGATTTTAAGTACATTAGTAATCCCATTTAGACTGAAAACATTATTTCAGTACCATAAAGGCTTTTTAAATTTTTTTTAAACTAAAAGCTATAAACAATGTACACTTAGTGCATCTTTAATTTATGATAAATCAAATATTTCAGTAGGGCAACAATAAATTCATAAACAAAGCAGAATTATTTCAGTGCCATATAAATGTTATACAACACTAATAAAATCAATGTTCCAACATACTGTACCTGAGCTTGATGAAAGGCAATTTCTGAAATCTTGTATTGGTTTAAGAAAAGCTTAACATAGTAGAAATTAAAGATACTATTCATCATTCCAGCACCTAATGTGGTCATGGAATATGCCAGTGCATTAGGATGAATTCCTAAAACAATCTTCATTTTCCAAATTGTGATAGTTTCTTCTTCTGCTTCTAATTAAAAAAAAAAAAGTTAACAATTAGATAAGTACCATTACCTGATATTTATAAACTTGCTAACAACACAACATGGAGTTGTTCTATGTTACAATATGCCATGTTGCCGGGGACAACCAAGACAGATTTGCCCATGTCAGGGCTGCAGGCTGGGGTCCCACAAATCTGTATTCAAGGATTTCCTCAGTCTCTTTTCTACTTCTAAATGTATTGCAAAACTTTTAAGATTATTGGACCATGAGCACAAACCTAAACAGCTACAGTATTAATTTATCAATACCATTTCTTAATATATTTGCAATGCTTAAATGCCAATAGAACATGTCTAACAAAAATAAAGGGAACTTTTATCATAAGTGGCATAACCCAGTCCTACATCTATGTTAGTGCAAATCCAGCTCCCAAAACCACAGATATTTTACAGATCACTCTTTCTTTCATTAGCTTAAAAACTGTTAAATGAAAAACAGACTAAATAAATTTAATTCATATTGATGGATTACCTTGAGGTATCAATATGTAATAAGCTGTAAATTTAGTTCAGTAATATTTTTAAAACACATTCTTTTAAACCAATTCATGATGATCATTTTTAGTTTAACGTTAATAATAAAAAACAATGTGGAAGCAAACTTCCAGTTAACAAAATAATAAAAGACAAAACAGAAACCATTACTTTTGACTAGGAATCTTCTTCATCTCTGTTTTCTCCCTTACTAGTCTTATATTAGAAAACTAGAAATTTAAATAAAGCATCCTGAAGCTAAACATTATGCTCTGTAGTCACACAGCATGTGAAACATCCCTATGGGGTTCAGCCAAGGACATACGGAGTTCTTAGCTCAGCGCTCTCTAACTTAAGCAGTGTATAGGTGGCCCCATCACACTGCGGGGGTGAGGTGGGAAGTTTCAGAAACTGGCCTCGTATGGGTGCTCTGTGAAGTGCTAGTCCTGAAGCTGTGTGCTCTGTGTGTGGGTCCATTTGGCGTGTGCCACCCACTTGGGTGGGTGAATTCAAGACCCAGGGCCAGCAGCTAGATGATGGGGCTCCATGGGTCAGATCCAGCCTGCAGGCCAGATTTTTGACATCCCTGATTTAGCATAACACTTAATTATTCTTTTCTAATTCAAGTTAGAAACAAAGGAACAGTTGGGATGAGGTGGAAAATGGAAAGAAGCAAGCCTCCATGGCCCTTTGAAGCTGCTTATATTATTAAATGAAAAGATGACTGAAGGTAGCAATAGTAAGAAGACAACTTTAAATTTAAGCTTGTTACATGTTCCAAATAAATTCTGTATAATGGTTTTACACTGTTCACTGTATCTGACTTTTCACATACAAATGTGAACAGCTAGATTACTTTTCTCTTTTGAAAATCAATTGGTATTAATAGCTCATTCTAATCCACCTAACCATATGTATATCCTCATTAGCACAACTTCAGATTTCTTCCTAAGAAAGCTGTACAATCCCTCAATATTTCATAGCACACCAATTCTCAAAAAATATATATTTTAAAGAATATTTGCTAATTTCTGATTTATCCGTTCAGTCACTAGAAATTCTGCCTGTAAATATTCATTTCCACTCACTCTCGGTAGACTAAAGCCACAGGCTGCCCTCAGCAAGATTTCCACATCCTTTTAAACTAAGGGAGGCTGCCACCAGCAAAAACTATCACTTCTCATTGTTCCCGGCATGGCTGAAGGTAGGCATTTCTGGGGAAGATGATGATCTTTATTTACCACACAAAGTCCAGGAAACCTGCATAGAGTATGAGTAGACAGCTGCCTAGCTTGTCTACAGATGGTACAGAGTAGCAGCTCTCCAGAAGCAGTAAGTTAAATGTTTCTAGCCTGGACACAAAGTGGAGTGTAGCCGCGTGGTATGTGGCGCTCCAGATACATCCATGGCACCACATACTGTACATTCAATTGTTCTCCTCCCTGCAAGAGAGCAGCATGGAGGTTTTTTTTGGACCCCTGGATATGCAGGGGTCCAAAAAACCCACCGAAAAAAGAAGTGGAGTGGCACACACGGTGTCAATGGGAGCCACCTAAAGCTGGAGCTGTGCTCTGCTGCCAGCCAGGCTCTGCATGGCAGAAGCAACACGACTGCAGCCCCTGCAGGCCCCCAGTCTCCCCTACCCCGCCATGGGTAACTTGTGCCAGAGCACGCGTGACAACTAGCAACCCCACACAGTATCCTGCTGCTAGTTGTCCCTGGGAACCAAACATCCATCTGGACATGGCCAAAACGTGTTAACGCGGCTTTATTTTATACTGGTTTTGTACAATGGTGTGAATTAGCCTAAGTAGTTGCTGTTACAGCACCTAATCACTAGGTGGGAAGATGAGCACATAATAACCTGCGTGCATTGAGCAGTCTACCCTGGGATAATTGCAAACATACTTTACTTCCACCAGCCTGTTTTTATTCATTTTTTTTCCTAGGGTAGCTTTACACCATGTTCTAGTAAGCTGCACCGCTACAGGGGTTTCCAGTGTGCCTGCTCCTTTTTTTTTTGCACCAGTAAGAGGCAATTTATACTTGTGCAATCATGTTGGGCATCCAAACCTTAGAGGCAGATGCTCCCCGCTCAAGGTGAAAAAAAAATCATCAGCCAGGAACAAAGTTAACCTGAGCCAAAGAAATAAATACAAGCATTTGTAAGCCACTGCTGGTTTTTGTGCATACTTTTTTTTTTTTTTTTTTTTTAAAGAGCCTGGCTCATGATTTCCGGATGTTTGGATAGGCAACACTGCATGCTTTTTGCAGTCTTTAAAAATACCAACAACATACTAGGTTCTGCAATATTAGATGGGCTGCAAACTGCATAGCAGCCTTTGCCTTCAGAAATTAGCTCTGAAGAAGGCTATCTACGGGAACCCTCTCTCACGTTACACTCGACTCTCATCACATCGGACCCACAGACTGCCCTGGATCCTCCTCCAGAACAGGAGAGCGACTGGGTTGCACGATCCCGGGGAATCTCCTTTGCTCCTGCACAAATCCTTCCCGCTTCCTGCAAGCGGGTGCTGCCGCCGCACTGCCTCGCGAACAGGCCGGCAGCAGCGCGGGGTCCGCAAGAGCCGCTCGGGCCTCTTCTCAGGGGCGGCCTCCCCTGGCCCCCGCACCCCAACGGGGCCAGCCCGGGCGGGCTCGCCCAGGCCCTCCTAGGACCCAC